GAATGGATAAAGCTTCTAGAAGGTCTTTGCAAAAGCCCATTCTTAAATCTATTGAAAATTTGTAGACAGTGAAAAGTCATGACAGTGCAAGGAAACCAGTCAATTTAAGTCAGCGCTACCAATTCTGCCAAGAGGAGTGATCCAGTATCCATTCAGAGTACCCAAAAGCATCTGGAAGCATAAAACCAAATATCACTGGAAGTGTATGCATATATCTAAGCCTATTTATAAACGTTTGACTCTGTGTTGATAGAAGAAAATGCACATACATTAAAACTTATAAACCCTATTATTCAAGGTATTTTTGTATTTATGCTATGTAATCATTCTACTTTGGCAAAAGAACAGTTAAAAGAGATCATTAAAAGCTCCAAATTGCCATGACATTTGTGCCTATGATGAGTGTAAATGCGTCCAGAACGGTATATGACCTAAATAAACTGTTTCTATGCAGTTCTCATTATACATCCATCAAAAGTTTAAGACCACTTGAAGAATGGCAAATAAATTGTATTTTGCAGGGTTAAATCTTAACAAAGTTCCAACATGTGACAAGAAGAAATGGTAGGGAGACAAAATATTTGTTTAGAGCATGCATATTGAGAACAATGCTTAAAATGAAACAGGCTGTTTTACAGCTGACCTAAAGTTTAGGACCAAATCTGTGCAGAAATGTGGATTCATTGTCATTTTCTGTCAGGTAGTCACACTGTCATGACGTTCTGATGGCAAAGGCAAAAAAAAAGTTTCATTTTTGAACATGTTCAGGTTATTAAACTGCATAAGCAGCACACAATCACTGCTGAGGTGGGATGTAGTAAGACAGTGCTGGTGAGATTTTTTGGGGTCGGAGGATCCCATTGGCTGTCATCAAGACACTGGATGAACCTGGACCCAAATTAAGGTTGTTACTGGTGCCAACTTCAGCCCCATAACCATCAGATGGCATCTGAGACTGAAGGGCTTCAAAAATAAAAAATGTATTCAAAGGTCTCCTTGAACAGCACAAAGCTCACCTTTTGGACGTTGCAAGAGAGCATCAAACATGGGACAGTAAAAGGTGAAAGAAGGTTTTATTCTCTAATGAGAAAAAAACTTGATGTTTCCGATAGTTTCCAATGTTACTGGTTTGACAAGCAGATCCCACCTGAGATGTTTTCTTCAACCCACAGTGGAGGGGGCGCAATAATGGTCTCAGGTGCTTTTTCCTTCTGTGGAACAATGGAGCTTCAGGAGGTGCAGGGGCATCAAACGTCCAGATGTTGCCGAGAGCATCCCTCATGACTGAGGGCCCTCGTCTTTGTGGTAGCGACTGGGTTTTTCAACAGGACAACGCTACACAATGCCTGCAGGATAAGGATCTTCTTCCAGAAGAATAACATCACTATTTTGGCTGGTCCTGCATGTTGCCCTTCCAGTTGAAAACCTTTGGGGATGGAGGGCAAGGAAAGTTTAAAAAAAAAAATTAACAACAGTTCCAGACAGTAGATGCCCTTTGTGCGGCCATCTTCACCACTTGGAGAAATGTTCCCACTCACCTAATGGAAACGCTTGCATCAAGCTTGCTGCAACAAATTTTTGAAGTGATTTTAAGCTAGACTGGTTCAGAGGAACCGTAATGTAAGGTTAAATCAAAGGTAAATAAAGAAAAAATCAACTGAAGTTCAAAATACAAATTTATGTGTGTCTTTTTAAAAAAAAAAAGCCTGTCCAGATTTATCATTACACTGGATTTTAATGTTCCATCAACTGTCAAATTTACACTCAAATTAGTGGGAGCAAAGCCTATTCTAGTCTATTAATGTGTTCTCTGAGATGAAAACCAACAGACTAATCATTCGTCTAATCTGTGTGTTTTTTATCTACAGTTCCATTTGTATAAAGTAAATGAAGCACAAACACACACACGGCTTCTCTAACATTAATAAGGTATAACCCATAAAGGTTTGCATATATATAGTATAAATTATTTACCGCAGTTTAAAACGAACCACTGAAAAAAAATGGCTGTGCCCAGATTGCTTACATATCAAACAGATACGGGATAATAAAATAATTTCTCTACTTTAACATAAAAGAAGACACACTATTAGCAAAACCACCCAAAATCTAAAAAACTGACCAGTTATTGTCCCTGTAGTATCTTCCCCTAAACATAAAAAAGAATCCAAAATACTGAATTAAATAGTTTTTAATCAAAGAAAACAAGGAAACAGGTTTATACAGATAAAAAATTCAGGGATTTCAAAAATGTGACAAGACTTTGTTTTAGTTTGAGAGCCCAAACTTGTCAGCGATGAGGCAAATAAACTGCTCACAGTTAGTATTTAATCAAGGCAGCAAAATAACAAGACCTGTCACAAATAATAGCATCTGCAATCATGTTTCAGCTTCAATTTAATTTTTAACGGGCTCTTCATCCCTGATATCAGCATCAGCTTTTAACTTGAGAGTAGACACTGTCCTCGGTAATGTCTCTCTTCCTTCTTCCTCTTGTTTTCCTTTCAGAGAAATTCAGTGCAGCATAGTTCAGCTGGTCATCGGCTTCAATCTGTTCATTAAATATTAGAAGAAAAATATTGATGCTGAGCTTTTCATGTAGACAATATTTTAAGTAAATAACATTTATTTTCATCACTTACTGGTTGGTTCAACCTGTCAGTTTGTGATTCTGATACAGCACTTTCTTTTCCTAAAGATAAATAAAATTATTAAAACAAATATATAATAGTGAAGTGCACTTTTTTTTATTTTAGATTGCATGATCCTTAATAAAAATAGTGCTGATAGGAATGTATTATTCAAAAATACAAGTTGGTACACTAAGCAGTGACAGCCACTCATTGTAAGCAGGTTTATTAGCAATAGTGTGATTGACTCCTTATGATTTTACAGAATAACTTATTATATGATTTTGTACCTTAAACCCATGAATGATTGGTCTTTCCATTATTAAATCTAATGAGATCATTTATGACTTTTAAACAATTGTAATGTTTTACAACACTTACCTTTAAATGGTTTACATACTCTTGACTTGAATATGAGGAACACATTTCCAATGACCGAAATAGCCAAACAAACTATTAATATTAGCATTTGAGTGAATCCTGATTGTGCCGGTTGCACTACAAAAACACAAAGAAAAAGTTTTAGCACTCAAATTGGTATAAAAATATCTTGTTTGTTGTTTAGAACAATTAATGAAAAATCATACCAAGTTTCAATGCAGTTCCATTTCCAAATAATATCTCCCCGCATGTGGCCACAGCACAGTAGTAAGTCCCAGCATCAGAGGAGCTGACGTTCTTAGAGAAGCGATAAACACATCTCATCTGAGTCTCTGATCGATTCTCACATTCATCATGTGTATTTCCATGAGTATAGATGATGTTTGGATGAGATTTATTTGATCCGGCTCTGAACCAAAAGACACTAAGATCTTCTGAACATGTTGCTTTGTCAAAGACAGAGATGATTGAACATTGCAGAGTCACTGATTCTCCTGGATGGAGTGGGTCTAATACTGTAGGCCACTGAACAACAGTACAGTTTGATGTCATCTGAGTATTTCCTGTGTATTACAAAAGATACAGAGATGCTTTAAAGCTTATAGTAGAAACTTTAAAGTGTGTAAAAGCAGCTCAGTCTTACCTTTTACTGACAAATACGTCTCACTCCACTGAATGGGATACATCCACTCAGCTATTCCACAGTGATAGATTCCCTCATCCTCTTGGACTGTCGTCAGAACAGTCAGGTTGCTAACATTATTAGCATTTTCCACATTAAATCTCTTTCTAGAAAATTCAGGACTATATTCAGGTGGTGCTGATTTGGACAATGTCACGATTAATTTAAGACCATCTCCAGCGCTCTGCTTGTACCAGTGGACTGTTATACTGCCAAATTCTTTAATGGGTAAAGCACATGTTAGTGTTGCTGCTTCACCAAGCTGAACGGTTTTTACTGGGACCAGAGAATCTGAATTGACAGAAAACACAGAAAAATAAAATGTTGTAAGATGTGGAAAATTTTTAATGCAAAATTAAATTTATTTGGTTTGTGTTCCTGCAGGTCACAATATAAATCATCATGACAAGTTTTTCACTAAGAATAATTTTGTACAAAAGAAGAAAAAAGTACTTACATCCTTGATGAAGAAACATTGTAATCCACATCACAATCATCTTTACACTGATCTATGTTAAGGACTTTGTTGGTATTTCAGTGAAAAGGAGGTGAGATGATTACATTAAGTCAGACTGTAATGTGCACCTGATTGGTTAACTCTGAAAAGATTCAAATCTACACTTCCTGTCACATTTACCTCCTCCTGGGCATAG